GGCTTGAAGGACCAAGTGTTAATAACCAAGGGTAATACAGCTTGGCTGACACTCACCAGGGAGAAGAAGAAACCTATCTGAAAGATTCGACTCATTTTCATAAAAGACGAGTCTAAAACAAAAGCTCTCTGATCGAGCTGCCTTTTAAAACACCTACAGTAGAGACTTCAGCTAATGAAACTAACCTGTCCGCAGCTGAGGATATTGTACTTTACAGTAGTTGCTGATTTATTTTTACCTTTACTCAGAACATCTACAGTATACAGTAGGACCAGATCTGTTTAACACAGAACTCTGTGCACACATGCAGTCTGACACTTGCGATTCCTGAGACAACGAGTGCTCAAATACTGTATAAAACATGCAAATTAGTTCAACTGAATAATACAATGAAATTCGTAAGCAGACACTAATGCAGTAGTTTCTACTTTACTGTAGGTCAGCTGCCACATTCTTCCCTTTTTTTACCATCCTTCCTTAAAGCTGGAACTTTCTCGTGACTTTTGTAGTGCCGAGCGCATCACGTGCTTGTAAGGAAAGTGCTTTGAGACAAATCGTGTTTTTAAAACACTGGCAATGTAATCGTTTTTCATTTAAGAGAGAGAATATTAGTTTCTCTGAATTTTTATTATAAATAGCAAAGATTAAGTTGTATGCATCTATACATCGACTGTTTATTATAGTGTGTAAACAATGAACCCTCAATTTGAACGTTTTATTAAAATGAGAAAAGCACATTCTTACTTCCTGAACCTAATTACGTAAAATTGCTCTCTGGTGTACCTGACTTGCTGTATTTAGTACACACAGCCTTTGTAGTATTTTGAGTTTATGTATTACTGTACTTAAAAAGTCATGAGCGATTAAACCAAATTTGCTGAAATATCCAGGATGTTGTACTGTACATGTTTGACAAACTATTTTGAAATAATTATCACTTGTATGTAGAACAGTTAATTTAAACTTAAATCCTAAAGGACAGCCTGATAACGTGGCATTAATTACACGGTTCTGTATCCCTTTTACTGATCCGATACACCAGCCGACACTGACTCCCAGTGATCTTCTCATGGTCTGTACGCAGGCAGTGTATTTTGCTAGTAAATCTCTTAATTCACATATACTGTACAGCGATATCTCAGTCGACACAGCTCAAGTACATACTGTACAAGTTAAATCTTGCAATGGTACACAAGTCCACACAACATATACTCTACAGTATACTGCATCTCACCCAGTGATTAACTACAGGTAATCGCCTAAATGATTATTGCAACGAATATGCCTCTGCGCAAAACAGTGTGACGAATACAGGTACAGTACGCCCCTACAGTACGTATAACAGGGATCTCAGCCAGCAAGACCCCTATTGAGCGACGCCGGAGTGGTGGAGGGACAACCGGGGTGGGGAGCCTCGAGGGCACAAGCCCTAGAACCAGAATACATTACATTATAAAATAAGCGTTCATTGCACATTTAAAATAATACCATAAACTTAAATCTAAAGCACAGTAATTGGATTGAAATGCTTTCCACTATAAAAACTGGTAAAAAATCAAATAGGTTTAAGCCACTTACTTAAAATATTTTGTTTAATATACAAACAGATTTACACCATCTGTTCCAAATCTCCGTGTTTTTTGCTGTCTTTGCACCTGCGATGCAGCATTTTCTATCTCTAAAGATATTTTTTTCTGTATGTGTGATTTATTTAAATAAAAAATGCTGCTGTTCACTGGAAACCATGTATTGTATTCCATAAAAGAGTTCTGAGTAAATAAAAAAATCTTACTTTTTTTTTTGTTGTTGGATTGTTATACTAGTATGGTTTACAATTTAGCCATTTCGTGTTCTGTACAATTTAACCAAAACAAATCAGTAAACAACAAGGACCCACAGGTGACTGCTGAGATATGTGGTGGGCTGGGAGGTGGCTGTGGCTCTGTGGCTAAGCATCTGCGCCTGTGACTGGAAGGTTGCCGGTTCAAATCCCACGGCTGGCAGAGAAATCCTACTCCGTTGGGCCCCTGAGCAAGGCCCTTAACCCTAACTGCTCCAGGGGCGCTGTACAATGGCAGACCCTGCGCTCTGACCCCAAGCTTCTCTCCCTGTGTGTCTGTGTCTCCATGGAGAAAAAGTATGTGAAAAGATGAATTCCTAATGCATTGTATTGTAAATTGTATAGGGCTAATAAAGAATCATTATCAGGTGTTTAGAGTGTTGTCTGCAACCATTAACTAATAGGAAGATCACGTTAGTACTGTACATGAGTAGTACAGTCAGTCATTAAGAGTCTGATCCTTGTTACTTTCATCCACTTCCATCCCAAATCTAGATGCTGTGGCTGAGTTATTGTACACCCACATGTAAACCGGTCTTTCAAACATGTTCATGAAAGCTGTAAGCGAGAGAAAGAAAGACATACTGTTCAGTACAGTGTGCTCAGATTAACATGGTAAGAAAAGAAATTAATGGATTCAGGAATAATGAACTATGACAAGAATTATCTGAGCTGCAGTGCAGAACTGGCCGAGCACCACAGAGGATAGTGTGATTCCAGGCTCTCAAAGCTCTTGGCAGCACAGTGACCCCACAGTGTGGCAACGTTGGTGGTGGACATACAGTACCTGTATGTCTCCTAAGAGGAGTCCTCATTCTCCCTCATTCTCTCCTGCAGTTGCAGGGTTCATAGCTTCAGAGCTAAGATGGAAAAAAAAACAAACTGCCTATTCCAAACAGGAATAAACTGTATGAGTATTACAAAAATAATAGGCTATTCTAAATTTCTTAGAAAGGGGAACATTGCACAAGAATGCCACATTATATGAATGCTGTCAATCTGTGAGGATCAACCTGTGAGGGCCTGAACTTGTGCAAAAGAAGGAAAGAGGTATGGAAGAGGTTTTCAGCTTGAACCTGTCTTTGTGTCAAGATAAAGCTCACATTTCCAATAAGGACAAAAAATATAATTTATATTTACATGTAGAGTGACAGACTTGACATTCATGCTTTTCCAAAAAGGAAAAAGGAATTCCTGCAGGAGTGTGTCACAAATATTTACCTTGAAGTTGGTCAGAGCAAATCAATCAGACAAATAAAAATCTCTTTGCTTCTTTCTCTTGTGCTCTCATTGTTTATATGCTTTTCATGTATTGACTGCAATTCATCTTATTCTGTACCTTTAAATGAAAGCTAATTGCAGATTCAGTTATATCTTTGAATTAATAATCATGAATGAATATGCACTGCATATACCATACTATATACTGTACGTACAGTATGTTATACATTATACAGTTTTCCCTGGGTGCCTGCTTCATGTTAGGAAATTAATTATGGAATCTGAATCACTATACAAAAAGTGATTGTGAGAGACTATGTACTGTATGAATGCTGCCTCACATCTTCTAATTTGCAGATATAAATGTGGATTTGCGAAATCCATGTTGGCGCTAAGATTGCTACAGCTCCCCAATGCTCTGCTGCTACCCCATGTTGCCTTCCAGCTCCAACTGCTTACACTTGGCTTAAGAGCAGGAAAACAAGAACTGATCTCTAAGATGAAAGTACAATTACACTGTTATAGCTTTTTACAGAATTTGCAGTGGTTCATTTCACTGTAACATTATCCAGTATTTAGAAAACATATTGTACAGTATATAAAAGAGATGTTCTTATTTATTGTGAAATGCCTTAAATAATATCATTGAATAACCCTTAATTTCTAAATTAATAACAACTTAAATGTAAACCAGGCCTTATTATTATAGAAGTTGTAAAATCTCTTTTTCGGTTCATTTCCATGCACTCATAAAATGAAAATAAGTTACACAAGAAAACCATATAGACATTTCATGAAATCATTTTCTTGAATAGTGGTTATCTG